TTCAAAGCACAGTAAGTCTATTTATTTTTTTAACTTTTTTCCTGATCACTATAACTTAAATGTGCCATGGAACTATAAGTTCAAGGGTGCCCTGAGATAAAAAAGGCTGAGAAACACTGCCTTAGGCTTATATATGGAAGGGACATGGGACGACCTCTGAGGTCTACTTGTGAATCAAGTGTAGCAAAGTGTGCCTGGTGTGTTGCCATGTGTGTCAAAGGTGATCGTAGTAATACACAAGAATATTATTGGATAAAAACACTCACTGAACGTTCACACAAGAAACTACTAATCATAACAGCAACTACTTGTTTGGAGGGTGGGCACAAACCGGATGGTTCAGTGTCAGAGGTGGGACAAAAACTCTACTGGCTGCCATTTTATATTTTCAGATTTGGAAACCTATGTAAATTTTGTGTTATTATTCAATAAACTATTTTTTAAGTGCTCCCTGCACATAACCCAATCAACTCTGTTGAATGAAAATGTATACTCTGGCTTCCTTCTCCATTCCCATCTCCAGCACAGACCCCACCAGATTGCTTCCACCACTCTGCTGGGGGACGTTTCAGGACTCCCCAAGGAGGTGGCAGAAAGCTTCTTTAAATGTTAAAACTAGGTAGTTTTTAATACTTTAAAATAATCAATCGATAGTAAGAAACCCTTGCATCACTCCTTACAGTTCAGAAAGTGTTTTCAAATGTTGCTCTAATTAGGTCATTACAGCAACTTTAGTTTACCTAAGACCTATTTTAAAAAAAGAGAGAACTTAGGTTATGAGAAACTAAGGGGCCAACCCAAGGTCATGACTCTACAAATGGTAGAACAACCTGATGTCTTCGAATACTATAGATTCCTTCTAGGGCAGCTGAGAGAAGGAATCTTCTTCCACCTCCAAACAACGGAAGAAAATGATGGCAAGACTCACAGATATTTTTTCTGTCCCATGACATTTTCTGACAGACTGATGTCAGCATGGGTCAGTCCAGGTCTTGGTCCTCTGGGACAGTCCTGGCAGAGATGGACAAATATCCAACTACTGTTTTGACTGTTACCCTTGCCCAGTAGGAGAGAAATGAGGAAGGAAAAATGTCCTTGGCTGGAGTCAAGAGATTCCTGCCAGTAAATCTGGTGGATGAGCCGACACGTCAAAGATATCCCCATAAGTCCTGTTAACACCATGACACCAAACCACAGAGGGGCTGAACACGCAGTAACAGTGCTGACTTCTTGGCAACTTTTGAAAGCAAGACTGTGTTGCTATTTACTGATGTGCGGGTGGGATACTTGAAGATGGAGAGACACTGGAAAGGAACCCGAGTGTGGGAGGACTCCCGAGGACTGAGTTGAATGTCACCGGGGGTGTGTGTCACAAAAGTTTCCCTGTGTGAGATTTTCCTCCTGTTCCAGCTCTTAATCTCCGAATGGACTCCTGTGTCCCAGAACCACATGATCCTCCAAGACAAAGAAAGCTTAGCACAATCACAGAAGAGAATGAAGTGTCACTGTCATAATACAATCTAGATCCACTGTCCCAGCCGAATGGCAGCACAGAGCACGGCAGCCTGGACGGCAGAGAACACAGGAGCTGCCCCCCTCCTCCACGTGCCTACGGCATCTGCCATCTGAGCCGAGGCAGGTGACACAAGACAGGCTTTTGGGCAAAGCTCACAGCACATGGGAAGGATTAGAAGAGCCTCACACCTATTCCTACTGGAATAAAAAGGGAAGCTGAACAGCAATTGTGATCCCTTTGTGGGTGGGGGAAAACATAGGCTGCTTCTGACATGACACGATATATTTATCTTGGGTATGAGAAATAATTTGATGCTTACTTTCCCACAGAAAAAGAAACATCTTAGTTTCTCTTGAAGGTAGTGAGTAACTGTCAGTAATTCAAGTGACTCTGAGATCATCAATTCACAACTGTTTTCATCAATCCAGAGTACGTTAAAAAAAAAAAAAATCTCAAGGAGCATCCCCCAAATTCTAAAAGTAAATTTAATTTTAGTTTCACATTAAATCGTAAACTAAGATTTAGCTTATTTATCTTAAACTAAGATAAACTTATTTCGCTCTGATCTGGATCAAGGAGGCAAGGAATAAAAATGGAAAGAGCAAAAGGTCTGGAAAACCACAGGGTACCTCAGATGGAACTTCTAAATTTGGCTACATGGCCGCTCAGCAATCTGGAACAATTATTTTCCTACCCTCAAGTTCTGACTCTTCTCTGAGCTTGGCGGACTCCCACACTCTGTTATCTAAGACACTGGGCCGAGTGAAGGGAGAGGGGAAAGGGCTTCTCCCCAAGATCAACATCTCACCAACAGAAATAGCTCGGCTTTCACACTGGGAAACAATTCTCTGTGGTCCTATTGTTCTATTTTTTTTTATCCAAAGGATGGGAAAATCTAATTCCAGAAAAATGTTAATAGCTTGACGATGTGACCATGGGGTTAACAAGTCACGGAGCTTAAATACTTGTGTGCTACGCTACACAAGTATTTTTGGAATACTATCTACTCTCTGGACATAAATCTGTTGTCATCAAGGGTCTCATCATAAACAAAGCTCCCGCAATATGAGAATCAAAGGGCCAACCCCAAGAAGATTTCATTTGGAATGGGCTAGATATGACTCAGGCTTGAGATACTCAGACTAAGAAGTGGTGGCTCCAGTTCAATATGGGGTAGGCAACAGCACAGATTAAAAAAGGGTTCAGAAAATTCTGGCAACCCATGAGGGAGGGGTTAGAAGAATCTAGATTACTGTCAATAGGGGAGAGCTAAGGAAGGAACCTCTCCATAAGATTTAACAATAGACAATGTCCCTAGTTGGAGGCACTGCAGTTACAGGCAGAGGTATGGGGAAGGCCTCCAGGGCCCAGGGAGTCCTGGGCAGAGTGCAAGGAGGTTTGGCAGAACAAGGCAGCTATCCTGGGCCGACCCACCAGACAGGAGCAAGACACTTCCCCCAAATCCTTTATGCCTGGGTGGAGAGCTGCCTGACACATGCAAACTCATCAACACGGTTACCCACATCGGAGCTCTCTCCAGAGGTCTGTTACACAGTGCTCAACATGTCCCCGATGGAGGATTTAAAGAGATGGACCATGGGGCGGCGCCTGTGGCTCAAAGGAATAGGGCGCTGGCCCCATATGCCGGAGGTGGTGAGTTGAAACCCAGCCCGGGCCAAAAGAAAAAACAAACAAACAAACAGATGGACCATGATCCCACCCAGAGGCTTAAATGGACCTGGCCCCTCCTGCCTTGGTATGGCAATGCCATTACTTTGGAAAATTTCCCTGCCACTGTGGCATTTGGCCCAAACGGGAAGATCCTTTTGTATTTTCATACCCCAAGTAATCCTGACCCCGACATTCTACAACCACCTTCACCACCTTGTACCTCTGTATCTGAACAACTATAGTTAATTGTGGAAGTGTTAGCTATGATAGCTACTTTATTTCATTTCCCTGAGGACTTTTTCTTTTCTCTAAGACAATTTCTCAGAGCTCACATCAGAGTAGTCATAACGGCTCAGAGGCATTGAAGGTTTACTGTTCTCTCAAGCATTATGCTGAGGGGTTTATATTTTTACATATTTATTCATATTGCATGAGCCAGGTGACACAGAGGCTACTATTTTCCCCATTTTGCCAACGAGGAAACTGAGGCATAGCTCCCAAGCTTCATCCCATCTGTTCTTATACTTTGTGAAGAAGCTCTTTTTTTTTTTTTTTTTGAGACAGAGCCTCAAGCTGTCCCCCTGGGTAGAGTGCCGTGGCATCACAGCTCACAGCAACCTCAAACTCCTGAGCTCAAGCGAGTCTCCTGTTTCAGCCTCCCAAGTAGCTGGGACCACAGGTGCCCACCACAACATCTGGCTTTTTTTTTTTTGGTTGTAGCTGTCATTGTTGTTTTGGCAGCTCGGGCTGAATTTGAACCCACCACCTTAGGTATATGTGGCTGGTGCCTTAGCCACTAGAGCCACAGGTGCCGAGGCTGTGAAGAAGCTCTCAATCAAAGAGTAAAGCTTCAGGCCGGGCTCAGTGGCTCACACCTGTAATCCTAGAATTCTGGGAGCCTGAGGCAGGCAGGTTGCTTGAGCTCAGGGCTCAAGACCTAGCCTGAGCAAAAGTGAGGCCCTGTCTCTACAAAAAATAGAAAAACTAGCCAAGCTATGATGATGCCATGGCACTCAACTCCAGAGGGACAGAGTGAGACTCTGTCTCAAAAAACAAACAAACAAACAAACACAACAAAAAATGGGTGGGGTGGCTCATGCCTGCTGTAATCTTAGCAGTCTGGGAGGCTGAGGCTATTACATTGCTTGAGCTCAGAAGTTCCAGACCAGCCTGACCAATATTGAGACCTGGTCTCTACTAAATAAAATAAAATAAAATAGCTGGGCATGGGCGGCGCCTGTGGCTCAAGGAGCAGGGCACCAGCCCAATATGCTGAGGGTGGTGGGTTCAAGCCCATCCCTGGCCAAAACTGCAAAAAAAAAAAAAAAAAAAATAGCTGGGCATTATAGAAGATACCTGTAGTCCCTGTACATTATAGAAGATACCCTCCCTACTAGGGAGCTGAGGCAAAAGGACTACTTGAGCCCAAGATTTAAGGTTGCTATAAGCTCTGATAACATGGCACTTACTACCGGGTGACAGAGTGACTCTGTCTCAAAAAAAAAGTAAAGTTTCAGGAATCCAAAAGTTAGAAGCAACATTTTTTAACAGCTGGGAGGGAAAAAGAGAGAAAGGATAATACTCTTTGACCTGGGCTTTTGAGAAAATCTTTTTTTTTTTTTTTTTTTTTTTTGCAGTTTTTAGCCGGGGCTGGGTTTGAACCCACCATCTCCGGCATATAGGGCTGGCGCCCTACTCCTTTGAGCCACAGGTGCTGCCTGAGAAAATTTTCTTGACTCCCTTGGTCACAAAATTCATGTAAGATATAACTGTTGTACTGTTCTCGTATGGCGTGGGTCCGGCCCACTCTTACCCTGCTGTCTTCCTGGATTTCCCAGTCGCTGGAGAAGGGCACTAGCGGCTGCCCTTGAGAACAGTTGGAAAACTGGAAAAGGCTGGAAAACATTCTTCTGTTTTCTTGAGTGTCTGGAAAGATGGCATCTTGGAAGTTGACACCGTGAGGCAAGAGGTTATAATTTTCATCCATCCTAATGCAAAGAGAAAAAGCAGAGAAGGAGATTGGATAGCCAGGGGGGGACCAGCGGCAACAGAGAGTCACAGAGCCATGTGATGGGCTTGTCAATCTCACATTGATGTTTTCCACAGCTCTCAGTCAAAACTTCTCTACAGTTACTATTTCTCTTTCTGTCTCACCCCTTGAGTCTATCCTAGAGGTTTCCAAAAAGATGAGTTTGAGCAAAGTAGGGGCCAAAGTGTTCGTATGAAAGCCTCTTTGTCTAGTTGTGTTTTGTCCCAGTCCCGCACCCAGCCTCCCTTCCCACTTCCCATAAACAGGGTCCCTTAGTTCCTGGTGGAAGGAAGGTCAGCTATACCCATCTGGATTTAAGTCCTGTCACTCCACTACTCATCTTTTGTGTGACATGAAACACATTTCTTAACTCTTCTAAGCCTCAGTATTCCAATCTGTAATAAGGATTGCAACAGAAAATGTAAGTAAATAAAACACTTGGCTTGAAGAGAATGCAGTGTAAATCCTAGTGGACATGTTTATAGAGCCTGGGTGTAAATCACCTGTTAGAATGATAAAGAAGGTGGGAAAAGGAAAAGGGATGGGAGTTCCACTCCAGTCTACAGGGGGCACGCAGGGCTCAGCAGGAAGTCTCCACTGCCACCCCCCATCCCTGGACACTGACCAAAGCCTCGGTGGGTCCCAGAGTAACAGAGGAGGAATGATTTGCCTGGGGTTGTTAACACACTTCAGGGCACGACAGCCCCGTGAAATGAAATCCCATCAGACTGCTGTTTGCCTCTGAATTTCTGCCCTAACTTTTTGTAAATAATGTTAGAGCAAAAGATGAAAGAGTTGGCTGGCCACCACAGAGCCTTTGGACAAAAGTATATTTCATGATAAAAATTGAAAAAAATAATAATGTCTGCTCAACTACTGGAGCTTTTTTAAATCAAGTTTGTTGTTGAATAGTTCTTTACAGCTGGCTTCTCAGTATTTTTCCTAAGTAAAAACATGAAAAACCGGAGTTTAAGTTTCTCCGCATCAAGAAGGGAGCATGGCTCGGCGCCTGTGGCTCAAGTGGCTAAGGCGCCAGCCACATACACCTAAGGTGGCGGGTTCGAATCCAGCCTGGACCCACCAAACAACAATAATGGCTGCAACCAAAAAATAGCCGGGCATTGTGGCGGGCACCTGTGGTCCCAGCCACTTGGGAGGCGAAGGCAGGAGACTCGCTTGAACCCAGGAGTTGGAGGTTGCTGTGAGCAGTGAAGCCATGGCACTCTACCCAGGGGGACAGCGTGAGACTCTGTCAAAAAAAAAAAAAAAAAGGGAGCATTCTCAGTCTTTGCTGACTGTGTTTAGAAACTATACTTCCCTGGCAATTGAAAAAAATTAAATCAACTTAGCCTAGCTAAACCACTCAAGTCATCACAAAGCAGGACACATATTCTAAACTTAGATATTCTGGCTTCAATATGGAAAACATGTGTTGCCATGAGCTCACAAACACTGGTCTGTGGAACTTGCTGTTTTCTCTCCCAGAGCAATGAAAGCTAAAAGTGGATCTACAGACCCAGGTCAGAGTCATTCCAAATATTCTCAGCACTACTTCACAAAAAGGGAAAGCTGGGACGATAACCCACTGTATCAGCCTTGGACTGGTTCACCCACTGCCCCCATGCACAGGTTAGATGCATTTTGCCATTTCTCTGAGTGGTTCTGAACTGTTCTCCTAATCAATGGAAGACAGCCAAGGCACTCGAGGCTCTCCCTGCTGTTCTCGATTTCACATTTCGGTGGAATTCAGTCTTCAAGAAGAATCTACTGAATTCTCACAAAGATGCGATCTTGATGAACTTCACAAGATTCCAGAGGTCTGGAATCTGAGAAGACCTCCTGTCCTATTCTCTACGCTCTTCAAAACATTGTCACTCAGGGTCTAGCCCCCAGCAGAACTCTTCCCCTCCCTATACACCTTTGCTGTTTGGAATAACCCGGCAGCCGATCTGAGATAATGAAAAAAGAGAACAGTGGGCTGCACTTCCGCCCTTTACATCTTGGCCTTTAAGTGGGAGGGGAGAGGAGAGCGTGGACCGTGGTTCAGCATCCACCCCGCACCAGGCACTGGGCACGAGTGAGTGTGTTTTAGTCTCAATCAGCGTCACTTCTCACTTTAGGCAGGTTCTTGAATAGATGAGAAGAACTCGCCCCAAATCACAGGAAGGGCAGACAGATTTCCAAGACTTTTTCTCACCCTCCTGAACTGCTCCCAAGGCACCGGGTTCAACCTGTCTTTTAAACAGCCCCAGCCAGGGTGGCCGGGGTGTCTGTAGAGACGTGGGACCCAGCGGGAGAGCGCGAGGCGGGCAGCGGGAGGAGCCGGGGCACATTCTCGCTCGGGAAGCCACGAGGGCTCCGCACCTGGCTGCAGGTAGGTGACCGCGATCTACTCGGGAGGGCGCGCCAATCGGCAGAGACGGTGGCGGCGGCGGCTGCGCCGGGCTCACCTGAGGAAGAAGAAATAGGAGTAGTCCTGCACCACGGTGTGCGAGTGGCACGAGAAGTAGCCCAGGCCGGTGAGGTTGAGCCTGGAGCCGGCGGGCACCTCCAACATGCTGCCCCACGCCTGGTCGCACAGCATCTCCACCTCGGCGGCGTAGAAGAGCCCGCCCTGGCCGGCGTGGTACTGCCACGGCAGGTGGTTGTAGAGGCCGGGCGCCTCGGGGTGCAGCGCCAGCACCTTGGCGTACACGATGGTCTCGGCCAGCTCGGCGCGGCAGCCCTCGCTCAGCGGCCGCCACTCGGAGGGCAGCTGGCAGGCGCGTGCGGCCAGGCAGAGCGCGGCCAGCAGCAGCGGGAGCAGCATGCCGGCGGAGCGCTAGCCGGGGTGCATGGCTGGGAGCCCGGCCCGCGGCGCCCGCCCGGGAGGGAGGCGCGGCCTGGGCTCCCGAGACGCGGCGCGCTGCGCTTTAAAACGGGCCGCGGGCCCCGCCGCGCCCGCCCCCGGCCCGGCCCCCAGCGCACGCCGGGGCGGGACCGAGTCCCCACGGCCCGGCCGGCGCCCGCCGTGACCCCGGGACCAGCTCCTGGCGCCCTTCTAGTATTGCTCCTAATCAGCACGATTATCTGCATCGGGTTTTACGTTTTCTGGAAGGTTCATGGAGTGTCAAAAGACGTAGAGATCAAAGCCGACTTTATCTTCCCAGAGATCAACTGGGAACTTCAATGAATTCGGTATGGGCTAAAAAACTTTTTGCTTGGTTGGGTCTCTCTCTCTCTCTTATTATTTCATGATAATTTTAGGAAAGCCTGCATGAAAGCATCAAAAAGCGATCCTGTTGCCCTGGTCTTTCTAAAGCTAGATGATTCGTCTTATCCCTCCTTGCGTTTTCTGAACACTCCTGGGCCTGAGAAGGAAATCACAGGTAATTCCAGACAGCTCTCACCGGCCAGCGACCGGCAGGAGGAGACCCGGAATGGACCGTCCTGCCTTTATCTCTCTACCCAACAGTTCTGTTGATCTCTACACTGCCTTTGTTATTCCTAGTCTAGTAAGGAGAAGAACCACAGGACATTTTTACTATTTTTTTTTTTTTTTGAGACAGAGTCTCACTATGTCACCCTCAGTAGAGTGCTCTGGTGTCACAGCTCACAGCAACCTCAAACTCTTGGGCTTAAGTGATTCTCTTGCCTCAGCCTCCCAAGAAGGTGAGACTACAGGCGACCCCCACAATGCCCTGCTAATTTTTGTTGCAGTTGTCATTGTTGTTTTAGCAGGCCCAGGCGGGGCTCAAACCCACCAGCCTCAGCGTATGTGACCAGCGCCCTACTCACTGAACTATGGGCACTGAGCTTACATGTTTGCTGTTCATGAATATATTTATATGTGTTTATTATACCATGAGTGTCATATATATCATAAATATAATGTACATATCATACACGTTATATATGTATATATACATATAGATATTATGTATATATTATACATAAACATATATATCACCTTTTATATACATATATGCTTACTTTTACATATATTTACATATATACATATACACACATATATTTATATGTGTACATATTATACATTAAATGTCTAAGCATTAACATGGAAGAGTCTTCATCCTGCAGGTATCTTACTATTAATAATTTGGGTATCTATAAGTTTGGGCCTTGGAACCCATTTGAATTCTTCTACCAATCAGAGGGAAGTAAGTTGCTGGGAAAAACTAGAAGGTGGAAGAGCGGAAGAGGAAAGGGAAGACAAAATTCAAAGACAGGGACTCACTCCCCATCAGCCCTAGATCCTCTCCCTGAGAGCGCTAAATTTTTGGTTAGGATGATATAATTCATGAATACTTGTTGTGAATGCCATTTTCAAAAGGCAGCTCCAGGGTACAACACACCCAGCCCTTCAGGCAGGGACCCAGGAAGGCCACCACACGGGGAATCCAAAGAAATTTGAGGAAGGGCTTTGGACATCCTCAATGAAATGATCAGGACTCCTTCTAATATCACCCAGATCCTGAAGCAATCAAAGGCTAACAAGTGACAGGAGGGTCACACTAGTACAGAATCTCATCAGCGACTGAAAGGGATTCTTATGCTTACAGAACCCTCTGTTTGGGGCCCAAAAGCAGAAAGAAGTAAAAGTGAGAGCTCCCCAAGGACAACAACTAATCCCTGCATGTCTAGTGTGCAGATCTAGCCTAGGGCCTCAATAAACTAGTTAGCACACAGTGAATTGAGTGGACAGCACTCCCAGTGGTGTAGGTGACTCTGCCTCTGTGACCTGCTCTGGTAGGTGTGTAAATGGTATTCCAAGATGACATCAGAGATTGTATATCAACATTGCTAATCTGTCCCTCACTGATATTTAAATTATGGAATTGCATAATGTAATTGGTCTGCTAGTGCTGTCATGATAAAATAGCACAGACTGGAGGCCGGAAGTTCAAGATCAAGATTCCAGGGTTGGCTTCTGGTAAGGCCTCGCTTCCTGGCTTGTAGACAGCTGCCTTCTTGCTGTGTCCTCACATGGCCTTTCTTCTGTGTGTCATGGAGAGTGAGCTCTGGTGTTGCTTCCTCTTCTTATAAAGTCTTTAGTCCTGGCCAGGCACAGTGATTCACACCTATAATCCTAGCATTCTCAGAGGCCAAGGCAGGTGTACTGCTTGAGTTTAGGAGTTCAAGATCAGCCTGAGCAAGAGTGAGACCCCCATCTCAAAATAGCTGGGCATTATGATGAGCTCCTGTAGTCCCAGCTACTTGGGAGGCTGAGGCAAGAGGATTACTTGAGCCCAAGAGTTTGAGGTTGCTGTGAGCTATGATAGCACAGCACTCTAGCCTGGGGCAACAAAGTGAGACTTTGTCTCAATAAAAAATAAATAAATAAAACCTCCAGTCCTATGTGATTATCACCCCAACCTCACAACTTCATTTAACCTTAATTACCTCCCCAAAGGCCCTGTCTCCCAAAATATAGTCACATTAGGAAGTTAAAGATTCAGTATGAACTGGGAGGGGAAGACACAATTCAGTTACTTCACAGGTGAGCTGCAGGTTTGGGAGAGAGAAGAGGGAAATCAAGTGGTTTACATTCCTGGCAAGCTGAGTTACAGCAAACATTGCCAAGTTATAATATTATCAATTCCTAACGTTAACTCATTGCTTACCATGGGCCAAGCACAGGATGCCATCTTAATTTATCTGCCAAACAAAATGCTAACATAGATATTACTACTATTCTTGTTTTACAGAAAGAAAACTAAGGCAAAGAGAGGTTAATTAAATTACCCAAGATCACAGAACTAGAAAGTGGCTGAGCCAGGATTCACCCACTAGCAATAAGAGTTAATATACTGGGCAGTGCCTGTGGTTCAAAGAGTAGGGCGCTGGCCCCATATACCAGAGGTGATGGGTTCAAGCCCAGCCCTGCCCCCCCCCCAAAAAAGTCAATATATTGAACTACAACACTAAAATAGGGGCAAAAATAGAAAATGTTTTGATGGCAAAGTGGGCCCTTTATCTGGCACCTATGAGGTCTGAAAATTAACTTTAGGAACTCACCACCAGACAACTATGTTGGCAGCACTGTAAAAACAACTCGATAAGGTTTCAGAACCTTAGGATTTCAGTATCTCACAGCTGTGTTCATGTTGACATGCAGAGGTGTCTTACTAAGTGGCATTTTTGTGTACTGTTGCGAGAATCTGGGGGCTTGAATTATAGCAACAAACAAGCATTTGTAAGTTTCTTGTTAAACGTGGAAAGAGTTGAAGTAAAATCAGAGGCACATTAGTCCTGATGAATTAAATGTTTTTCTGAAGAGAGAAAGCCTCGCTAATGAAGAAAGGTCAGAATGGCTGGTAACACTCTGAACTGATGAAAACATTAGGAAAATTAATTAAACTGTGAATCAAAATTGTTGGCTGACTGTGAGAAGCATAGCAGGCTGATACAGAAACCATTAAGCAAATCTTAACTGAAAATCTTGGCCAATGACTCACGGCTCTTGCATCATGACAATGCACCAGCTCACATGGCACTGTCTGTGAGGGAGTTTTTAGCCAATAAACAACTATATTGGAACACTCTCCCTATTCACCTGATCTGGCCCCCATTGACTTTTTCCTTTACCCAAAGACAAAGAAAATATTGAAAGGAGGACATTTTGGCGACATTGAGAACATCAAGGGTAATAGGATGACTGCTTTAATGGTCATTCCAGAAAAAGAGTTCCAAAATTGATTTGAAGGGTAGACTAGACACTGGCATTGGTGCATAGCTTCCCAGGGAGAGTACTTCACAGGTCACCCTAATGATATTCAGCATGAGGTATGTAGCACTTTTTCTAGGACGAGTTCACAAATTTAATTGTCAGATCTCATACAGAGATTTTATATGCACAGCAGTAACTTTAGCACAATCACCAGTGATGGCTCAGTGAGTGTGTAACCGACCTTACATTAATTTTGTATTACCCAGAATCCCTGGTCTATGTTAGTCCTCTGCTATAACTCACACAGACAAGGTAGAAAGAACATGTTCTGTTTTGACTGCATCTTCAAATGTCTCCAAGGCCTGGAAGAGATTTGTCTACTCCTACAGACCGGAAAACAGAATCAAACTCTTCCAATACTTTCCGGAATCAAACCCCGAAAAACAGAATCAAAACTCTTCCAATACTTTCCGGAATGCATTTTCCAGAAGTGAGCCCTCTCGAGAGCCTGTCTTGCTTGTGGATTCTTCAGACACATCAGTCATGCTTTTCTCCTCTGTGAGACCTGGCAGAGTGCCTCGCTTTGGGGTTCTTTTTCCGGTGGAGTCATTGCTACATCCCCAGCTGAGCAGTTACCCTTGGGGAACTAAGACCTCCAAACAAGCAGAGCTCAAAAGGCAAAGACCTCCAAACAAGCAGAGCTCAAGGTAGCCAGGGTAGAAAAATAAAAATTCCCTGCGTGAATTATTTTCTTTAATAGTGAGGTGAGCTAATTCCACCCCTTGATTTCAAGACCCACATGTTCTGGCTGGGGGAGGTTGTGAATGTACTATTCTGTTCCAGTTGTATACAGTACCCTTTAAGAAGACCTCATCATTTCTGTGTGTTAACTCCCATCCGACACTATAACTGAGTCTTCCCTAAGCTGTTAACCTTTCAAAATCTGCCTAGTTGCTTCCAGATGATGGGCCACGCGGAAAGACCACTTAATTCTGTGACCTTGAGTCCATGGTGGTGAAAGAAGCAATGCTGTAGGAATCACTGCTCAGAGCATTGCTTGGGAAATTCCCTTCTGGTGGGCAAGGTGTTCTGGGAGCCTATAGGTGGTGCTACTGGCAAAAGCATTGTGAGTGAGGAAGGCA